CCTGAAGATACCTTGTTCTTTCCTATGTATCTCGTTTTGATGATACCTCTGTTGAAGTATAATGCTGTGCCCTTTCTTTCTTTGTCCTAATCCAAATGCTCATTTTTAAATGCTTTTATTATTACATTATAGTTATATATAATAGTTGTGTTTATTTTGACATAATCATATATGCATCATGCATAGAATTTAGTTTGCTCCATTTCAGTCCTCAGTGCAGCCTCTTTCCCTCCCCTCCTTACTCCCCCATCCTCCTTCCTTCTGCTATCCTCCTTCTTCTACTCTATTGGCATTTATTTATTAATAATTGGTGCTTTATAGATTTACATAAAGATGGAATTCATTGTAGTATATTTATATGTGTACATAGCATAACTTTGTCAAATTCATTCTGCATTTCCTTCCCTTTCCTGTCCTTCCTCTCTCTCCCTGGATCTCCTCCTACTCCACTGATTCCCTCTGTCTTTATGATATCCAACTCTGCTTTCTCTTTTTCCCTCTTATTTTGTTCTAGATTCTACATAAGAGAGAAAACATTCAACTCTTGATTTTCTGAGTCTGGCTTATTTTACTTAGTGTGATGTTCTCCAGTTTCATTCATTTACCAACAAATACTATAATTTCATTCTTATTTATGGCCAAGTAAAATTCCATTGTGTATTTATACCACATTTTCTTAATCCATTCATCTCTTGCCAGGCACTTGGGCTGGTTATTGTGAATTGTGCTGCTATAAACATTGATGTGCCTGTTTCACTAGAGTATGCTGGTTTTAGTTCTTGTGGAAAAATTTGAAGAGTAGGATAGCTAAGTAGTATTGTGAATCTATTCCTGTTCTTTTGAGGAATTCCTATACTGCTTTTCATAGTAATTGTACTAATTTGTAGTCCTACCAGCAGTATTCCATTGTATCTTTTCCCTCTCATTCTTGCCAGCATTAATTTTTTTTTGTAGTGATGATTGCCATTCTATCTGGGGTGAGATGGCAATGTAGTTTTGATTTGCATTTACCTGGTTGCTAGGGTGCACATTTTTTCACATATTTGTTGGTGATCTGTATTTTTTCTTTGAAAAATATCTGTTTAGTTCTTTTGCCCATTTATTGATTGGGCTATTTGTGAGGGTTTTTT